TAGCAAAATAAGATCTATTTTTTAGATCTAGAAGCTACTGCACACATAGCCACAATAAATACTAAAAAATAATTTATTTTTATCTCACGAATTCTTAATTCTTTTACCTTTCGTATTAACTATTAATATCAAAAAATAATGCACTAATCCAAATATATAATTATCATGATATTTAATTGAATTAAATCATCATTACAGATAAAAAACCACAGATAAGAATGTTAAACTAATTCGATTTGGATTATGAAATCAAAAATATATATTAATCTAACCAAATATTAATAATTATATAATGTAATCATTAAAAATATAAACTAAAAAAGAAATGATTATTCTGTTTAATAGAATTCGAGATTTCAAATATAGCAAAACTATATACTTCATTTTACTACGTTCCTGGTATAGTTTTTGTAATATATTAAGTTAAAGAGTGAGTCAACTAGGGCAGCCCCCAAAGTGCGAATATACAAGCTGCAATATATAATATAACAATTGAAATTACAATTGACAAGTTATTATACTTATCGATTGTAATTTTATATTATATACTGCAACTTGTATATCTGCACTTTAGGGGGCTGCCCTGGTCAACTTCTACATTCCTAGCTTAAGCATGACTACATCATACAGCTGTTCTAGTTTATTAGTATATAAATTTTTTTATTTCTTATCATTATTATTATTATTATAATAGTGGCAAATAGCTATACAATTTGATTGGTTAATTATTATGAGTAATCATAAAAAGATCAGTAAATTTTGAGTTTAATAGATCATATAAATTGGCCAATTATATTTTAGCTCAAGGTTATATAATAGAGGCATGCCTTTTAGCTAAAAGGCATGCCTCTAGACATGTTCAGAGGCTATGTCCCATGAGGCATACCTCTAACCTCATACCTCCAACTCTAGTCCACTACCTTGTTTTGCTATAGGGTTCCTATATAAAAAATTTTTTAATAAAATCTTTATTCTAATTGGTTATAATAATTTTCAGAAACCTATATTATATAGCATATTTTATAATTATAATATAAAATATTTTATATAATTTAAACAAAAACAAAGCTTTACCTAATAGCTATAAAATATATTTTACAACCCAAACTTTAAGCTTATACCTGTTTCAAAAACTAATAATATAAAATTAATTATAAAATTTTTTGATAAACTTTAATATTGTATTATAAAAAATATTTGTGTATAATAATTGTAAAGAATTTTTATAAATATCATATATATATTTCTTTTTTATTATTAAATTTAGACACCAAAGTTCTATTACAATCCTATTACAATTTATATTATATAACTAATTTTTGAAATATTATTAAAAAAATTTTATAAAATAAGTATTACATAGTATTTAATATGCAAAATACTTTTATTTTAACTTAGAAAGTAGAAATAATGTCTAGTAAAATTTTAAGTAATAGGTCTTTAAAATTTAAGCATACAAATATATATACTATATAGTTTAAAAGATATAAATTTTTTTATTTTTTTCAAAATTAATATAGTGAAAACTCTTACCAACGATTATTTGTACCAACTTTTTATTGAAAGCAAGTAGAAAACTCAAAACCAGAAGTTAACAACAACTTGAAGTTTACTTAATACAAACTATTGTTAATGAAGTTTTTAAATATAATATACTAAGGAGCGGGTGTTTTGGACAGTTTGCAAAGAGGTCAAGCCTTTTTTTCTCTTTGATAGACTCCTTTTTGTGTTTGGTATCCAAACTGGAGAAGTTTCTAAAAACAGTAAGTAGAAGGTAAACTCAAGTTTGTTTGAAGACAGAAGGCTAGCAAGAACTCTTGAAAAACACTTTTTGGTTAGAAACTTGCAAAACTACAACTACTCTCTTGCTATTTTCTTTTTTTATAATTTTTGACAAAAAGTAGGGATTTGGCTTATCCTCTCCAAAAGATCGATATTGTTTACTACTTCTATTTTCAAAAAGTTATGAGTTTTGATATAATGATTGAAGAACAAAACAAATTATATGTGAAGAGGAAGTTTTAATAGATCTCTGAATCAAAAGGAGATAAATAATGCATATTTTGTTTGGATCAGATATAGTTATCAAGTAATCCCTATTCGGGATATACTAAGAAAGTAGGTTCAGAAAACAATGATCGAAAGAACTAATTCTGTTAATCTGAAATATGGAGATAGAGAAGTATATTTGAAGTGAAAAACTGTAAGTAGCAGAACCATTCGTAATTAGGGTTAGCTTAAAGTGAAGAAGACTTTAGAATTAATAATTACATAATCTAGGCTTTGAAATCAAACATTCTAAGATTCAAATTAGATTTAATAGAGAGTTGTAAACTAGAGTGATAATATAGAGATATGCTTATTCTGAAGTCATAGCATATATTTTTTAGCCCTTAGTACAGGTTAAAGTATATTTTAGTACATAGTTTTTTTTTTTTTTGTCAGATAGCTCTATATATAAATTTCTATGACTATGTAGATAATTTTTACCTGGTTAGTAGGTTTTATATCTGAAGATAGGTTCTCATAGATTTTGAGATAGTTTTTAGATTTCTTTAAAATTTGGTTGTTTTCTTTGTATGTTTGTTTATATTTTACCCCTTTTTCGCTTTCTCTATACCTCTTTTTTTTCTTTTTTACTTCTCTATAAGAAAGTGTTATCAGATTGACAACACTCTATTATAGAGCAGTGATTCTGACAAGATCAGTAAAACTATCTGTTGATATCTAGGGCTTATATCCTCAGTAAGTTGAATATCCCAGAAGAAGGAAAATTATCACTTAGGTGGATCGCTCCTAGGTCATGCTCTAGTGTAAAATTTTGATTAAGCTAATTTTCTACTATGATAATGAGATAGATCAAGAGAATTTTTATTTAAATAGACATAAAGTACTTAATAGTTAGATAGTAGGTCTAGTTAACCAAATTCGCACTGTAATATACTGTCGATTTATAAAATAAAAGTAGAATTGCTAAAGTAAAAAAAAAAAGATATAAATTTTTTATAATAGTAATATATTTAGGGTATTGCTATTTATACTATTATTTTTGCTATTTACACTATCCTAAATACTAAACTTTTGTTAGTTTTTGTTTATAATATTTAAAATTTTTAGCTATAGAATGTTTTAATACTTCTTAACTAAAACTTATAACTAAATAAACAAATTTATTAAAAAAAATAAAATTTTAGCAATTAGCATAATGCAAATAGCAAAATAGTAGTGTAAATAGCAGTACTCTATATTTATTTTTTTGTACTTTCTTGTAAACATCTTTTTTATTAAAATATACTAGTATAATATTTCTTCTATTTCTATTACTATTGCTTGGTATATATATTGTTCTAACTTTAATCAGCTTTAAAATATTATATAAAAAATCTTGTAGTCTAACTATGTATTTTTTTGTTTCTAATTCTGTTTTATTAAAATAACTTTTATAAATTTTCTTCTTCAAAATAAACTATTTAACTTTTTTATAAGATCTTGAATTTTCTTGCATATAATATATATATAGGCCACCTTGGATCTCTTAGTTTCTTGCCAAACTTCTTACTATTTTTTGGCTTTATTATAAAAGTTTAAACATCTAACTTTGCCAAACCATATATCAAATAATAAATTCTACAAGTAATTTTGCATTCTGGTTTGTAGATTTTAATTGCTTTGATTTTGGAAAAGTTTGTGTCAATTTTTTCTTAAATGAATCATCTTTTGGCCTGTTTTCTGGAGCTCACATTGATTTGTGAATATTCTTAGAGACCCATCTTGAACCATGTATATCTTTACATGTGATTTTGGACCCTTTTTGGCTAACATGTCTGGAAAATGATAGGAGCCGGTATTGAGTGCCTCCATTAAAAACGCGTATTATATAAAACTTATCACGAAGATTTAACATTTATAATGCAGTAACAGTAATTTTATAATATGGCATTACGTAACGGATAACAAACCGCACACTTTGAATTTACAAATAGATATTCAAAAAAAACTAAAATAAAAATTACATATTAAGTACCATTGCTGAAACCCCATTGAAAATTTTTTCTTGCAAGTTTAGTAATAAAGTCATCAACTTTAATCATCCCATCTACACCCATTATCAATTCTCTATAAGTCTCTAATCCAATATCAACATCATTTCGAGAATTATTATCTACGGCATGATAAACCACTTTATCAATACCAGCCAAATGGGCAGCTGCGAATTGTAAACATGCCATAATTGAAATATTTCCTCCATAAGCACCACAACCCCAATTGCCTGTATTAATAACAACTCTAGGTACGATTGTATCTTCTTTTTCTGGAATAACAGTATGTTCATCATTTTTATACCTCCTATCCAACACACCAGTTTCTACTAAACTTTCAAATCTAGCTGCCAAAAACCCACTATAGGCTGTTTCAATAATCTTTCTAATAGTACTATTAGTATAACACCCATTTCCATATTTTGGAGCCTCCATAGCAATAATATTTGAATAATAAGGTTTACCTCTATTATTCAATCTTTCATCAAAAACTGTGGTAGCCAACTTTACAGCACTTTTTTTAGCTATTGCAAATTGATTCCCATAAAGACCATAAGGTCTACCTTCAGCTTCATTAAAATCAGTTTTGACGAAGGCACGACGTTCTACACCACGAATTAATACAGGAGTCGCAATTGATTTTCCGGATATAATCGTTCTAGTTTTTGCTTGTGACCCATCTTGCATGGTACAAAGCTTATCACGAAGTGAACAAAGAGCTGGATGCTCCAGACATTGCATTTCATCTTGTGCGAAAAGAGATCCACCATAATATCCAAACAGATTTCTAAAATCAAAATTTATGTTATTTTTTTTTCTTAATTATTAATTGACGTTTGCAAAAAGGTCTAGCAAAAAATTTTTAAATCTCGAGATTATTACGTATAACGAAATTTAAAAACTATTTAATTAGACCATTTCATAAATATTTATAAAATAATTTTTATAAAAATTGAGTATACGTACAAATCAGCAAAATTAATATACCAAACTACAGTATTATCATCATCAGGTGGAGAATAATCAAATACATCATTTAATACTTCAATCTCTAATTTTCCTTTCCTTCCACCTCCAAT